GGTTTGCATAACTGTCTCGAATTCTCCCAACCTCCCCTCGTGTTGCTATCAGGCTATGTAAACACGGAAAAAGTTTTCTATTGCTTAAACCGTACTGCCAACAGTATAGTTTGTTTTTCATGTTTATGTTCAGGCTACGTGTGTTGGCTAATTCGAAGTTCCAACTCAGACAACAGCCAACCAATCACCTTAACAGTGGTTTTTCTAATTAAATCCTGTCCCACAAACAATTACACAGACAGCTTTCTATTCTTTTTGCAGGACATTAAATTATTGACATAATTTATAATCAATAATTTTCAGCCTTCAGAGTCTTTAATTCAGTTTGCGTGCTGGTTCTTTCCTGTGATTTGGGCTCGTATTATTCCCCACAGCATCAAGTTTATAAAATACCTGTTAGAAATCTCGCGTTCTGATTGGTTGGGAGCGCGTACTTTATGAGACCACTTCTTTATGCGCTTGCACTTTGAGATGCGTCATAATTCTTATCTAAAATAACAGTTATTGTAATTTGTATTTTATTAAAGAAATGAAAAAACTTGCTTGCTGTGTTCCGCCTACCCCCGCGTGCTCTATAAATGCACACAGCAGGGCCGCGCGTTTTCTATTTCTTCAATATCGTTCTTTGGACTGYCTTGAACACAAGATGTGTCTTGATTTTGTGCTAAGAAAACGAGCAATACTTACTGTCATCATTTATGATATTTATCTGTATACCAATGCAGGACGGATCGACAACCACTCTTGCGTCAGAAGTGTTACAAGTAACTGTAAAACTCTCATTTGTCTCGACTACTCTGTCATTGGTAAGAACCACAGAAAAGTTTTTAGTCAATTTATTTAGTGCAAATGAGACTGTGGCTGAAGATTGAGATGTGTAGTCGGTCGGGCTAAAAGCTGTATCATTGGTAGTGCTACACCTAAAGAAAATGAAAAAATATTATCAAAAATATACAATAACATAATAAGGCCAAGGTCATTTCTGAGATTGTAGACATGGTGCATTGTAGTCTAGCTTGAGTTAGTCATGCCTTATATGATGGTGTTTGCAGCTACACCAGGATGCACGTTATTTCGAACTAAGAAAACCTGATTGAATTAGTTCATAGCTGTGTACGTACAGAATATTATTCGCAGTGACTGTCGTTGCTCCAGTTCTGTCCAGTCTCACAGTAGCAGGACCATTGCCTTCTTTCAGTGATGAACCTTGACATGTAATATTCACTGAAAAGAAGTATTAAGGCTTATTCCAAAATACATTTACTTCAAATCGCATAATGTATATTACGAAGTCGGATTATTTTATCGAAGGAAAACAAAGTCGCAGGAAAACAACTATATCTGTTAACTGTTGTTGTTTCACTTTCCCCTTAGAGTAATAATGAATGTGTTATATAGCACACTTTCCAATCAAGGATTTTTCATTCTAAATTATATTTTTGTCTTAAAATGTTATCTCAGTTGGTCCATGGTTGGTTATTATGACATGCCTCGTTCTACAAAGTGAAATGCAGAGTGATCTATTGAATAGTTGGAGCATTTGAAATAATTAATGAATAAGTAAGAAAAAAGCATAAATATGATATAAATTTTAGTGTTTTTCATACCATCATCACTTATCAGTTTGACAACTCTTTGACTTTTCCCACTCTCAACATTGCTTGGAGACACTCCTGATATCGTAACACTGAAAGTCTCGTTGTCTTCTATCAGTCTGTCATCCACCACTGTACAGGCTGTTATTGTTCTGCTTGTTTCATTTGCTGCAAATTGGATGACATTGGGGCTTGGACCAATGCAATCTGCATTCCCAGCTGTGTCAAATATGAGTTGTACTCTAAGGGCAATTGAAAATTGATACAAAAGCAAATTAGCACATAAATTTTTTTTTATTTGCTAAACACTCAAGAAATAACGGTCGAATATCGACATAAGTTCGGTGCACAGATAATATTTATTGATGCTGGTTTATATCTGTTAATGAGGATGATGATSATGAAGATAATCAAAATATTGATTATGGGATAATGATGAGCTATAGATATTCATATGATAAACGGATAATAGTGATAAAGATGATACCGTGTTGTTGATGATTATGATAATACAATGATAATGACGATGTTAATATGATGATATGGTGATAATGTTAATCATGATGGTGATTGGAAGATGTGACAATAATGATGAAGCATGATGAGGAATGCGATGATAATAACATTTAATGTTTTTTTTTTTTTTAGTTTTTGCTTGTTTTGTGTTTTGTGTTGTTGTTGTTGTTGTTGTTTTTTTTTTTGGTTGTTTTTTTCTTGCCTTTTGCTTATATTTTTGAATTCCATTTTTCAAGCCTTTTCTGCCTCCTGATTCTTAACGCAGTCAGGGAAAAAAGTCTTAACCATTCTTTGTGGTTTAAGAGCGTACAAAGCACTTGGTTTAATTACCTGACACTAGAAGCTACTGAAATTTTTCCAATTCTTTTGATGGTGAGAGTTACATTGCTTGATCCAGTACCTTCAGTCATTGATAACTCAGTAACGTCCGTCAGATAAAAGGTATCTAGAATAAATGAACGTTATTAGTTATCTTGGGTTTGATTTATTGCTTAAAAACATTAGGTAACAAAAGGAAATAAATTAAATAATCAGTTTTAGTACAATTTTAGACTTGAATACAGAGTTTCTCCAGCTGGATTAGTCGAGCGACCGGTGATCACGGCTGAGACGAGAACCACCGCTGGAGCGGTGATTATGAGGTTTTCTTACGTTTTTCAGATCGGAAGCAATACTAAAACGCTTTTTTATCCTGAATTTGGACTTTTCTCTGATATTCTCTTTTCTCTTTTATCTGAGTGAGTGGGAGGGCCGTAAGGGAAAATATTTGGCTCGAGGCGATGCCGTACCGAATGACCGAGAACCAAATATTTTCCCGTACGGCCCGATCTAACTCAGTTAATAAGCATTTTATCATATGACCCTCACGAAAAGAAAAATAATAAAATAAAAGAAAGAACATACGGTCGCAGGTTTCGAGCAGGGCCGTACGGATTCGTACGGCCCTGCTCGCTCAAAGCCGTACGGTCCTGCTCATGCCATTTTCCCGAAGGTTTTTCTAAGAGCGAGCGCCCGGGCAGATACGGGCCATATGATAATCGCCGATATTCACTTCGCCTTCGCCGAATAATTGTTAAATATATCCTTGGCTTTTGTCTCTTTATTTTAGTGTTCTGTTGTTAGTTAGCTAGTTTGTTTGCTTGTTTTTTGTTTGTTTGTTTGTTTGYTTGCTTGTTTTTTGTTTGTCTGTTTGTTTGTTTGTTTGATTCAGCTTGTATTTGTTGATATAATTTTTAATTGCATATATTGTAATTCCAACGAATTGAAAACCACCAAATACTTACAAAATGTAAGGAAAATCACGGAAGCTAATACAATTAACAATTCTAGTAAAACAAGGGTTTTGAAATCACAGTTTATAATATTTTTCAAGTTACATATAAAAAAGAAGATGTCGCCAGAGGACACTGGCACACTTACTATCGTTATCCTGAATAGTAACGTCATGACGGCTTGAATCGTTGACAATGACGGCAGGATCAGAGTTTTCCAAGTAAATCTGAAACGTTTGGAATTCTGTTTCTCCTAAAGTATCTTCGGTAATATTAAAAGTACCAGTAACCCTGTCGCTTCCTGATGTAAAATTTACGCCTTCACATCCTGTATCAATTGATGGGCTTTTTCCTCCTTCGGTTGTTCTACATAATCTGTAGAAACAGAAAAACAATTACATCTTTAGCATCCTAGTAACGATAAGACGCTGTAAAGAGACCTTTTCCGAATTCACTTCATTGATCACGGATCAATGGTTTCAAGTCGAGGTTGGACTTGATAAATAAAATAATCGAGTTCAGCTAGCCTCGACTTCAAGCCATTATTTCGTGCTCATCCAAACGTACACTTAAATACTCACTTAACAGTAGGCGTCGAAGACATAACACCAACACGGCAAATATCGGCTGAAAAAGAACCGGCACTTTCGTCAACTTGTTTTGCATAACCATCTGGACAGAAGAATACGTACGCTGTAGAGAAGAAAGAGTCGTTAATACATATACGAACGCTCTTTGAAGACTTCATAGTTATATGGCAAGCGCCCGGTAGACCATATCTAGATGTCGAAGTTTTTGGCAACAAAGACAGAGCATGTTATTGTATATAAGCAAGATACGTATTTACTTTATTACTGAAATATACGAATCCATAAAAAAATCATACTAATAGATGTTACGTCTATTAACTTTAACCATACTATACTACTAATTAATAGAGGGAACTGAACTACTCCACTGACGTTAAAAAAAATTCAATTGATAATTGTACAGTGCAATGATATCCTGCAAAGATTGCTGACAATAATGGATCACACGCACACGTAATGCATCTTCACCATGTTGGTGCCATTTTACAAAAGATTACCATCGGCATCTTTTGTGACCGCATCAAGATGGCCGATGTTTTTTTTTTGTCAGAGTTGACACTCTTGGGAATGCTGGCAAATCACAAAACGCTAATGATGAAGCATTTTAGATATGGACTTGAAACAAGCTTTTAAAAAAAGGACATGCAAGTATTTTATAATTAGGAATTTACGGAACGTAGTATACAAACCACATTAAGAATACACAGGACACAATCGGGTAATTTTCTTTCAAAACTCATATCGTGTTTAATTTATATTAAATTTCCCATAAAGTATTCATTTTCTGGAAGCTCACTGCGATTTTTATAAATATGCAAGCTCTATGTCTGCGAGCTGCACGCTGAAATTTGGTTTTTCATTCCGTCAATCAAACCTAATCATTCGGTATCTTTCGGTCATATTTTTGATTGGCGGCAGCGAAAAAACAAATTTTAACGTGCAAATTGGAGACACGGTTCGCATGTTTATGAAAATAGCAGTAAAGAGCATTTATTGCATATGTCAATTATTTTTTTGGGGGAAAAAAACCTCACGGAAGACCTAACTCTTATTTCACGAAACAAAAGCGTGTGTGTCGTTAATACATTACTTTCTCTCTCAGAGTTACCTCTGCTAATGAGGTGGGCAAACTGTTGCGCCAGATTAATGAGAAAAAAAAAAAAAAAAAAAAAAAGCTACAGGTTCATATAGTATTCCATGTAAATTGTTGAAAATTGCTGCAGACATTGTTAGGCCTTCACCTACTGCCAATTTTAATCGCTCCATTAATACTGGAGTTTTCCCTCAAGAATGGAAGCAGGCGAGGGTAACACCTGTCTTTAAGAAAAGCTCGAAATCTGACCTTAATAACTACCGCCCTATTTCGGTAATACCCATAGTCGCAAAGATATTTGAAAAAATTGTTATATCTTCTTAAATGATAATGAACTTTTAGCCAATTGTCAGTCAGAACTTCGTTCTCTCCAAAGTACTCTTACGGCTTTGTTCGAAGCCACTAGCAACTGGTGATTAAACATTGACAAAGGCCTCCTTAACTGTGTTGTATTTATCGATCTAAAAAGACCTTTGACATTATCGACCATGACCTCTTACTAAGGAAACTTGGTTACCATGGAGTGGAACAAAATTCTATCAAATGCTTTTGTTCTTATTTAACACATGGAAGTCAGAGATCTTTGGTCAACGGGTCTTTGTTAAATCCAAACATAATAAGCTGTGGGGTCCCACAGAGTAGCATTATCGGTCCATTACTCTTTTTGATATGCATAAACGACCTGCCCAACAGTCTTATCACAGCCACAGCAAAAATGTTTGTTGATGACACAAGCATTAGTATGGCAGTAGAGTGACGGATCTTGAGAATTCGATCAATTCGGAGCTAATCAGTCTTAGTCGCTGGCTCAAAGCAAACGAATTAAATCTGAATATGACCAAAACTGAATACATGGTCATAGGCGGCTCACGGCAAAAGTTACGTACCCAGTTAAAGGATGATATTCATATTAATATCGATGACAAAGAAATAAAGAAAGTTGATCATACAAAGTCATCGGGACTTATAATAGACGATCGCCTTTTTTGGTCTGTCCATGCTGAGGAACTATGTAAAAAAATATCCTCAGTTATTGGAAAGTCAGATCTTTTTTCTTTCACTCTGCTGCTGTCCAGATTTACAATTCAATGCTTTTGAAAAATCCATGATAAGCACTTTGATAAAGCTAAAATCTTGATATTCTAAGGGTGTATGGTTCGCCCTCTATTAATAATCTATGGTTCTTCTATATATCTCAACTGTTCAATAAACATAGATGTATGCTATGTATACATTTTTCAGGAGTTGCGCCATGGATAGTTAACCATTCGCCCGGATTTTGAAGGGTATCTTTCGCAAACCTGTAGCATTTTTGCTGTACACAATATCGTAAGGTAAATTAGATATGACCACAGTACAGTCACGAGTTTGCCGCACCTTTTTCTACTGCACAAAAAACGAGTATTTAATTATCTCCTTGAAATCTAAAAAAGGTAACTTACTGTCGTCGTTTTGAATGGTAACCAAAGCATCCTGACAAGAGCTTTGTAACTGTACTCTTACGTCACTTGTAAAACATTTGACTTTAAAGGTTTCGTCTGCCTCGGGAATAGAATCATTTATGATAGGAATACTCATTTGTTGAACAGTGTTGGAACTTGTGAAGCTGATAGCAAACTCTTCTGAGGCATAATCGCTTGGTGCCGATGCACTGCCATCTTTCGTGGAGCATCTTAGTAAGAAAGAAAAATATATTTGTGAAAAAAAGTCTTAAATTGCAGGATTTTAATCAGCTGATAAAAGTCCTTAAATCTTGTCAGAATATCAATATATCCAAATTCCGAGATATGCTTGGCCTGTCTCTTACAAAGATTTCAATGTGATGCTTCGTTCATAATGCTCAGGGTTTCGTGGCAGGAGAAGAATTTATTTAATTTAGCACGTACTGGCCCTTTGGGCGTGACAAGCGAAGCATATATTTGAATTGGGCTATTTATGACTACTCGCTCCTCCGTCGCTAAGCCGTCAAAAAATAACATATGACAAGAAACGATATATATCACGTGATAATTATCCGAGACAGAGAGAAATGTAGCTATTATAATTTTTTTTTTATTGCAGTAAAATACTTACCCGATAGAATGGGTAAGACTCAAGGCCTGTGATGACCCGGACCTGGTTATTTGGACTGTAGCTGTTTCCGCCGACTCATTGATCTGAGTGTTTTGACAATTAATATTGACTGAAACGGAAACAAAATATGACTTATCGTAAGAGTTATGTCAAAAAGTGTGAGCTGCGAAAACATGATTTCGCTTAGAGAGGTACTATGACTACTGGTACTCAATATAATCATCCATATATCATTTATAGACCCATTCGTTTAGCTTGGGCGTAACGTTTTTCCATTATAGACTACATGTTATTCTTTTAGAAGTAGCTTTGTAATTTTAAAAGTCATCAAGTAATTCTTTTACGGCATTTAAGAAGTACTCCTCGTATTTAAGTTGAAAAATCAGCGAGCAATATCTAAATTGTCAGTGTTATTATACACACTTGAATGAAGACAAGTTGAATAACATTTCTAAACGAATTTTTATAAGTAAACGCTTATTACACGGTGATAGTATTAGTTTCTGATTGAAAATATGCAAGTGAAAAAGTCGACAGACGAGACATCAATGAAAAGGTCAAAATATAAGGAGTATTGTAACACTTATAACTCAACGCTTTTGTCAGCGGGACGTAAGAGAAGCACAGGGAACCCGATATCTCAAAAGTGCAAGTGGGATTCACAAGGAATCCACAAGTTTGCCATGCAGAAGTTTGATTACTTACCGTCATCATCTGCAATGTAGACTGTGTGTCTCGTGAAGTTCTCCTTCCCATCGAATGCCGTAACGTTTGGAATCGAAAAGGAAATTGTTTCACGATTCCCGCTTTCGACCTCTTTATCATTGATGATATAAAGAGTGATATTTTGATTGGATGTATCATTAGCCGGAAATGTTATCTCCAATGATCCTGATATTAGAAAGTAATCACTACCTTTGGTGGCGGTTCCGCCTAAACCTAGGCTGTAGAAAAAGAAAAGTGAACATTTAAAAGAAATTTACTGATTGTGAATGAGTTTTTGAAAATCTTGTCAGAGAAATGTAAGAAAGAACACAAAAATAAATAGAAGAGGAAGAAGAAGAAGATAAAAAGAAGAAAAAGAAAAAGAAAAAGAAAAA